GGGAACAGAGAAATCTGTGGTTTGTGCCTGATTTCCTCAGCTTTGGGGAACACCAGGAGAAGCAACACCACCCGGCCTAGGTCTGCACCCCTCATCCAAAGCCCTTGATGCTGAGGAAAAGGCTACCTGTCTGCTGTGTAATGTGGTGCGTTTCCATCTGCTTAACACATCTCACGGGAGCTGTTTCCCATGGAGACTGAGTTTTATAACACGCTTGGAAATGCAGCTACTTCTGATCTTCTTGGGTGTTAAAACCCTGGTGTTTTAATTAAAAAGGAAAAACTCAGCTTCCCCTCCCTTCCCCCCTTTTTCTTATTCCTTTATCAGGTGCTTCCTACACTGAGCATAAAGGAAAAATGCAATTGCATGTAACCCCCTGTGCCAACAAAAAGCAATTAGCAATGAAAAGATGAGTGGTTTCATTAGCAGGAGGCTTCTGCTGTGGTGGTAGGGGGAATTAAACCAATAAAAGTACAAGGGACAAAGTCCTGAGGAGGGAGAAATAATGGAGGGGGTGCAACAATAATCTTGGGGTTGGAGAAAACAGGTACTGCTGTTCTCTTCATTTATCAGGCTGAGATGTTGCCTGATTAAAGACCATGGGACCCTCCAAAGGAAGAAAATCCCATATTTTTTTTAAAGTCATCAGTGCCACAGAGGGGAGAAAGGAAAATCAATGAGAAGTAAATACATGCAACACCTTGATGTTGAAAATTATGACATTTTTTGGTTTAGAATGAACTGACCTAGGATTGAGGAGGTACTTTGCAACCTGGCCAGGAGCTTGGTGTAGTGGCATCGTAGGTCAAAGCAAATGATTTGCTGTGCTTCTAAATGGAGGAGAAATGACTGTATATTGCTACCAAATTTGGCATCCTGGCCAAGGCAAATCAGATTGGATATTAGGAAAAACTTCTCCCCCAAAGGGTTCTCAGGGCCTGGCAGGGGCTGCCCAGGGCAGTGGTGGAGTCCTCATCCCTGGAGGGGTTCACAAACCGTGTGGATGTGGCACTTGGGGACATAGTTTAGTTGTGGACAGAGCATGGTTGGACTCAATGATCTTAAAGGGCTTCTCCACCCAAGTGGTTCTATTATTCAGAGACAATAAATCCCCCCATGTTCTGCATGCACACATGCACAAATCCTGCGTTTCCAGAGTTTGCTGTCAGCAGAAATGCCACCTCCCTCCGTTTCCCCTGTATCATGTTAGCCCCAGGTTCAACCCTGTTCAACCCAGAGCTGGGAGCTGAGGGAGTGCATTTGAATTTTGGGCTCTCAGCAGGATTTCGGATCCCTTTTCCCATGCAGTATAGACAACTCAGCTTCATCAGCTCCCTCTCCAAACCACTCACTCCTCCAGCAAGAAGATAAATATGGACTGAGGGAGCCTCTAGAAGAGATAAACCAAAGGGCAACGACTGGGACATTTCGTGTGGAGCAATTTAAGTGGAAATATAAATCTGGAATAGGTCCTGATGGACAACAGAGCCAGCCATCATGGAGAGGTGACCCACTTTCTCCTGGACTCGAAATATGCTGGGTTTTTTAAGTAGAAGTGGGCTGAAAAATGGTCAGAGGTGTCGAGGGGACAGAGGTGAACAGATGTGGAAAGCCAATGCTGGGACCATCGGCGCCCCTCGTTCTTTGGGATGCAGTCGCTTGGCTCTGGCACGGCTCAGGATTTGTTATTATCTCAAGTGGTGAAAAAAAAACAAACCCTAATGAAAATGATTTTTAAATGTCCAGCGACAGAGCAATCCACCAGCCCTTTGGTGAATCATTCCACTCATTAATTTTCCTTACTGTTAAACTGAGGGTTTTGTTTCCAGCGTGAATTTCTCTTGGTTTTTAGCTCACACCTACTAATTCCCCTTCAAACAAGTGATGATTTTAGTCAGCCTAAACCAAAATCTTTCAGTGTATTAAATGCATAATTTTTCATTGATTTTTTTAAGATCTTTAAATATAGTTTTAAAATGAAATTTCAAAAGCATATCTTTCACAGCGGCATTGAGGCGCTTTGGAAAACGTGAAAAATTAACGTTTATTTGTCTCTCCTCTGCAATTGCTTTTTGAAACCACCCGAAACAGCTTGCTGAGGTCAGAACAGTGCGGCAAATGGTTTTGATTGACTCAAATGTCTGTTTTGCCATATGAAGAACAAAATCAGTCAAAACCTGCCACAAAGCTCTGTTTCCAGCTGGGTTTGAGTCACCCCTTGAGCTGCCATTTGCTAAATGCACAGAATCCTCTGTATATTCTATTTTACAGCCTTTTGCCATCCCTTTGACATGGATGCCGTACCCCCTCTTAAACATACAAAAGAAAACCAAGAAAGATTTTGTAATAAATTTTCTTGCTCTGGTTTGTTATCTGTTTAATTTCATCCTGGTGTCTAAAATCAATTGGTTGTGCATCAAATGTAAGTTATAATTTCTCTGTGGAAGCTGAGTGGAGGTGGAGAGCAGTTTCTGCTATTCAAAATAGATATGTTTTTAACGGAGATATTTTTCTGGCTGCTTTGCCCAAAGCTGTGGTTTTAGAAGGACTTTGGACATCAACGCAAAGGTAGTGCCAGCCGTTCTTCGCAGCAAGATGAATTTTCACAGATTTTATTGGGTTTTAAATCCACAAAGAGATTTTATTGGGAGGGAAAATGTCTGGGAGCTCCAACCCCAAATTTGCTGGTGCAATCTTGGGTGGGGAAGTGGGGGATGGCCATGTAGAAGAGGGAGAGGACCTTACTCTTGGGTCATCCAGAAGAGACTTGAGATCAAGCTTGGACTGACCCAGTGCCAGGTCCCTTCCCGTCCTCAAACTCCAGCCACGCTGGTCATGGCCAGGCCAAGAGACCCCCTTCCCAAAAGGAACTACCCAAACCTCCCCAGTGATGCTCATCTCTTCCCAAACCCTGCCCTGCCTGGGGATGGGATGGGGCCAGGCAGGAGCAAGGAATCACATATCCATGGGGCTTGGAACTCAACAGCAGGGCACAAATTCGTAGCAAGGTGATGTTCCACTGAGAAAAACCCACCAACATGACATGGCTTCATCTGCTCATGGTGCTTTCAGCTGCTCGAAGGGTTTGTCTGCTGTTCAGGGCTTCTGAGTTTCTTCTATATAATGTAGCTGGTCTGGGATGCACCAGCAGCTCCAAGTCAATCAGGTCCCCCAAAAGAAGGGAGGTTCATTACCAGGCCTGAGCTGGGTCAGACCACCTCCTGAAGCAAAAGACCTTCTCTCCAACTAGAAAAGGAGAGATTTTGGGGTCAGTAAGGTTCAGGGATCAACCCAGATGATGCAACAGCTCTTTTTGCCTCGCAGATTTTGCAGGATCTTTCCTTCCTCCCCGTGCCACCCTTGGGGGCTGATGGTGTCTTCCTTGTGTGTTGCAGACCAGCATCTCCATAGAGATCAGGTACCAGGCTCTGGATGGGACAGTGGGTGCATGGAGCGACAAGGAGTTCCTGGAGACCCCCAGTGTCCACTCAGAGGGGGATGGCAGGTACCCTTTGGAGACAGACAGCCTCCTCTCCAGCCACCGGCAGGGCTTGGACGTCTCTCCAGGCAAATCCAACCAGCAGTCCACAGAGAGGAGCTTCAGAAGGTAATGTGGTGCTCTGCACTTGGAGATGTGTGATGGCAGCAGGGATGGGGAGAGACTGCCTTGTGATGAAAGAGCAGCATTGCCTCAGTGCTCCTCTAAGGTGCATTGCATCTCCTGCCCACCAGAAGACGCATTATCACAGCTCAAGGTGAGGATGGGCTGGAAGTGTTCACCCACCAGTGCCAGTAGGTCCTTGGTGCTCCACCACACCTCTCCAGCACAAAGCTGAGTCTCCCAGCAAGCGTTGAGGTTCGTAGCATATGGCAGATGTAATTAAGTAGAGATTCAGAGAGGGTTAAGGGTCTGGCTGTGAATCAGGTATTGTCTTGGATGGGACCAGAGCCACGTGTGAGGTGTAGAGCCACATGTGTGAAAGTGTGGGATCTCACATCTCGATGGAGACACAAACCCACACGAGTGTGGATGCTTACGGGTTGGAAGGTGGTGGTGACAGTGCCTCTGACCCATGTCCATGTGCTGCCTGGATCATCATGAGCGTGCACATTCCATGGCAAGGCAGCTGGTGCAGCAGAGGCTGGAGGAGGAAGCAGGGATGGAGCAGAAGGAATGAGCCCTGGCACGTCCCTTGCTGCATTAACCCTCAAATAGATGAGCACTCAGCTTCCCAGACGTTGTCAAAGCTCCCTCCATGGTGATCTATTGGACCTGCTGTGGCAGATGGGGACACCTCCAGGGATGCTGTTACCAATTTTCTATTCATTTAAGGGCTCTTAGCATCACCCCCGCATCTTTCTAAGCTCTACAGAAAAACAAGGGACTGTGTTCTTCCATTTCTTGACACAAAACCACTGTAACCAGTTGCAAACCCAGCCCAGTGACTGGTATGGGTGGAGAGGGCTCAGGACTGGGGATGAAGTTGGCTTTGTTGGCTGTTCATTGGAATGAAGTGCAAACTGGGACCAGTTCTGTCATAAGCTGTGGCTTACGGATGCTCAGGGCTCAGTCCTTGCTGGGAGGAACAGCCCCTTCACCATCTCATATGCAGCCAGGAGGCCAAGGCATGAGTGGACACTGAGGCCTCAGTGATACTGGATCAGATTCAGGTCCTATCACAGGCGCTTTGAACTCTGTGCTCAAATCCTCACCCAGCTTCTCAGACAACAGAGTTTTTCAAGTCTAAAAGCTCAAGTTGCACCAGGGGAGGGTTAGATTGAATATGAGGAAAAAATTGTTCCCTGGAAGGGTTCTCAGGGACTGGAAGGGGCTTCTCAGGGCAGTGGTGCAGTCCCCATCTCTGGAGGGATTTAAAAGCCAGGGAGATAAGGTGCTGAGGGCGATGGTTTACTGGTGGACATGTGATGGTTGGACTCAATGATTTTAAAGGTCTTTTCAAACCAAATGATTCTATGATACTTTTGTGTGTGAATATATTGGGTTCACAGGCTGCTAAGCCAGATTTTGAGGCAGTTTTACATAGTTTCTGTAGTTGTTTTGTCCACTGTAGTGACTCTGACAGGCTCGACTCCAGTAGCTCTTGAACTCATTGGCCTCTTTCTGTTGGAAGAGTGGAGACATCCACATCCTGAACTTGCTAAAAGTCTCATGGAAAGAAATAAACTGGTAAAGGAAGGAAACTTTATAGGAGAGACAAGCAGAGCTGGGTCCTCATGACACCCACTGCTCTCCTGGGATGAGCACAGCCCTGGTCCGAGGGCTGCAGTCCCAATGGTGGACAACTCTTGTGTTCCCAAATCCACATTGAATGGGTTGGGTTGGAAGGGGACCTTAAAGATCCTCCAGTCCATAGGATCCCAGCCTAGAGGTCGGAATCCAAACAGACCCATGTGAATCAGCTGCTTTTTTCCTAACATTTACATCGCAGCCGTACATCCCCCACGCTGAGCTTATGCAATTCTGTGTTTCCGTAATGTTTTGCTTTCTGTCTGGGTTTAGCACTTTATTGTGGCCAAATAAGAGCAAAATTCTTTCTCCCCACGGCGCAAGATTGAGGTAAGATCTCTCCAGTCACTCGCAGCACTCCTAGGCAGTTAATTAACTGTGTGAATTGGGCTGAAACCTGTGAATTTTCAAGCAAATTGAAAGTGCAGATCCGTTTCCCAGCTCAGCGAACCGCGATGTTGCTGAACAGGGAAGATGCTGAAGGATTTAAAATACCAGGAGGATGGCAAGGCAAGGTCAAATCCTGCCAGGGCATCCGTCCTTCTGGCACCATGGGTTTCAGTCTGTCTGTCAGCCCCATAGGTTGGGAAATCAGCATCCTGGACATTGGAGATGCCAGCAACACGATGTGAACGTGGCTTTGCTCTCACCAGAGGTGTAATTAACTCCATGTGATTGATGCAGGCAGTCAGATGAATTGAGGCTCTGGATTACATCTTCAGCGATGGTAAAGCTAAGTTTAAGATGAGCAGCTCAGCTGGAGGTTGAGGACAGCCCCATTTAGCCTGACAGATTCCACCCCAGGGGCATATTTAAGAGGGGGTGTGTGTTTTTTAAGAGGAGGTGATGGGCATCCCTGCTTGGGTGCACAGAGCTGCGACGTGGCTGCAGGCTGCTGAGCTTTTTGAGCTTGGTTTGTACATGGTTGGTGAGAAATCCTTCCCATTGGAGAGCTGAAATAGATGCAATATTTGTGAACTGGGAGCAGGGACAGAAGGAGGTTAAATACCACTGTAAAATCTGGAAATTGTACTGTGTCCACAGATGGGACAGTGGTTCTTGGTCACATTTTGGTGAAAATCCCTTGATATTTGGCTTCGGTTTCTCCTTCAGATCCATGATGCTTTAAAAAGAAAACCCCTTTGTACATAGGATTTATCCTATCCAGTGCTGCCAGGAGAACCCTTGTAGCCCCTTTCCATTGTTTCACAGCCCTGGATCACCGGTTTAAAAGGAAGAGATGGAGGATCACCCCTTAGCAATCGCGCCAAAAAAAAGCAAGGTACAGTACTCCTGCTGTCCCAAGCAAGTTTACATGTGGACAATTGCACTAAAACTGGTTTCACCTACCGCTTTTGCCCCAAGGAGCTCCCCCATGCCCTCAGGTTTGGAGACTTGTCCCATATCAGGTAATTTTGAGCGAGGGGGCTGTGTCTTGACCTGCACTCACCAATGTCAACCCCAAGGTCATTAATGTTACTACCACTGCTCTTACAAGGACCAAGGAGGGAAAGGGCTGATGTTTTCCGTGTCACCACCCTCACAGGATGGAAGAGGACGAGATGTATTACCACAGCGAAGATGAACTTTTGGGAGAGGGGGACACCCTTAGCCAGGGATCCCTCAACACAAGGTAGGGGGCCAGTCAGCACCCACTCGTGCTGGTGGCCGTGGGGTTTGCGGTGCTGTGTTGTTCTTGCCTTGTCCCTGTGGATATCCCATGAGTGTTGCCCCTGGATTCCCATTTCTTAGCTGCAGGACAAGCGATGGAGAAGCTGGAAAAACATCCTTGCAAAGGATGCTCAGGGGTGCTGGGATCCAGGATGGAGAAAGGGCCTTGGGGTGAGGCTGCAACTGGGGTAACTGCCTCTGCTTGGAGCCCCCTTCCTTCTCCAGGTCCCATCACTCATCAGGCACAGAACCAGCGACCAGCCACATTCAGTGCATGGGGGAGAGGCCCTTGTGATGTGCATGAGGATCTGATTTCCATTTGCAGTGACTCTTCTTGCTGTGCAGTGCTGTGAGTTGTCCCTCATCATGTGCCAGAAAGAGTTTGGGGAGGTGCTGCAATAACAAGAAGCTCAGGTAAAACTCAGGGGCCAACCCAAGCAGCTCAAGCAAAAGAAAGAGCATTTTTTTTGGAGGGGGGTCACTCCTCAACCCATGTGGGTGCAGTGATGGCAGAAAGCCCATGAGGTTGGTTGTTCCTACACACGGCATTTCTGGGGAGCTCCCTTCTCATAGCAGCCTGTCACTGAGTGCCTCAAGCTTCACTTGCAGGAAGATATTGACTCTCCATCATGGGAATTTATGGCCACATCCATGCTGGTAAACACCTCTCTCAGGTCCGATTAATTAGAAAGTGCCAGGCCAAGCACCTGAAGTGCCCATAACCTTAATAAATTATTACGACGGTCTCTGAGAAGGTTTTGGCTGCCTAGCACTGACCCAAACCACCCCCAGGCAGGGTCAGGAGGTACAACAGCCATAGGCAGGTTAGGGACTGCCTATCCTAACCTTTTCTTTGGAAAAGGAAGCCCTAAAATGGGTGCGATGGGTGCCAGGGAGTTTGGCTTCAAGGGCAGGGAGTTTGGCTTCAAAGGCAGGGAGTTTGCACTCAAACTTCAAATTTCATTGTGCAGGAGTACAGGGTTGTAGTACATGCCCAGTGAATACGACACACCAGAAGCACATCTTGTCTCACATGTGCCCTACGTTGTAGATCCATCTGGGATGCCTGGAGATGAAGGGATGGTCCAAGTGCTCTGACAAGGCTGCTGGATGCCTGAGAGTCCCCCAACATCTCAAACCCAAATGTGGGAGCCATCATCCATGTGCTGAACAGGGCATGGCTGAGCAATACTTTCAGCTTCCCATTGGTACCACCAACCTTTATGCCAAGGAAGCCAAATTCAAAGCCAAGTCCAGCTTCCACCTTTCCTTTGAGGTTTGGGTCAGGTTTGGGATGAGCTGCTCATCATTTTGGCACAGATATGATGGGATAAGGGGACAGGAACCCTAGGTTTGACCAGGAGGAAGTTCAGCTCCCATCCCCACAGATGCTTAAGTAAAACCTGGATGCAGATCTGAAGAAGCGTTTGGAATGAACTCATCCTCCTTGGGCAAGAGGTTGGACTCAAAATCTTCTTGGCAGCCCCTCTGCCTGTAATTCTCTGTGTCTTCACAGCCTGTTTCCATCCTCCGTGTCCCCCTGGGAGGGCTTTGAATATGAAAGAAGGCAGTGGAAAGATGTGCCCAGATTTCCACAGGCTTCCTGTCAGTGTTGTCTCCGCCACCGAGCTGTTTGCTTCCTCCCCTGCCTCATTAGAGCCATTATTTTGTTATTCAGCTGATTCCCT